GTCTAAAGCAGCTTTCTAGGCTTAAAGGTGTACCAATAATTACAAGTGATTCATTGTGTCTAATGCTCTAATGCTTTGATATCTTCAAATGTGAAACACTCCCTTTAAACAGTGCAGGTAAAGGCATGAAAGGAATATCCCAACGTTGAAAAATGCAACCGCTGAAGTTTAACTTTACATCACAACCTTGCGCACGGCGCACGGTTGCGCTGCAAACTTCAAGGGAAGTTACAAACAACATAATTTGAAGCCGTTGCCAAATGCAAAACGTTATCCTCAAAACCGGAAAATTTTGGCAGCAAAAATTACGCCGTTGTGTTCGTCGATTGATTTGTTCTCTTTACCTTCCTTTCATTGGCCGTTTAGTTAAACATTTCGCTGCAAATTAACTAGACGTGAAGGGTTGCATTACCGGTTTTTACGCCGCGACGAAGAGCCACTCCCCATCTCCCGGGAGCCCGCGGCCTGTTTTCAAGGTCTAACGACGCAGGCTATCTATAATCCTGCCAACGACGGTTGCGCACGTGACTGGCTGAAGTGCTTTACTGCCATAGAACCATTACACCATCTCACATCGATATATCGACAACGATGGCTCGAAGGGACCCGAGAGTGGCACCCTTTGATAGGTAAGTCAACGGGATACGGCGTGTTGGTAACTGTGATATCGCACGTGCCAGGTGTCACGCTTACATCGGCTGGCAAGATAGATTTTGACGTCTTCGAAAAGTGATTTCACTGTCATCGTGCCATTACGCGATCCCGAATCAATATATCGACAACGACGGGGCGGAGTTGCCCGGGAGCGGCACGCTTCAGTCAGGAACTGAACGGGTAATCGCTCGGTATAAAGTGTGCGGGCGCACTTGTACGTGTCATGGGTGCGTGAGCCAGAAAAATGGATCTCGCCATTTTTCGCCGTTTCCCGTTTTGTGCTACACCACAGCAGCTACAGCAGCCAGAGTCGTGAATCCGTCTGCGATGCATAGCTAACTCAAATTTTTACGTTTTTATATTAGCGCATGGAAGTAAGCGTGCAGGCGCTTGTGTGCATTAAGCTCAGCTAAAATCAGGAACTCATCGTGCTGAATGTAACATCCTACAGAGTGGTTTCGACTGCCGTTCGGCTGGCTACGCCTTGAAGTCAATTCATGGTCCCATTAAGACATTATCGAATGTGCATTAATTTGTATTAATGCATAGGGGAATGCTTAATGCACTGTGTTTGCGTGTATTGGATGCTTGCCGTACTCCCACTGTGAAGAATATTTGCTTTGCTGCCACATTGCCCAGGTTCCTGGCAGAAAAACTAAAGGCTTCGAAACCCCTAGAGACCTCGCAGAAAAGCCAGGAGAATGGAGATATAGTTGGGTTGATATTTCGGCAACATGCCTTTATCGAAGCAGTAGCAGAAGTCTATATCTCCATTTTAATTTTAACTTTTATTATTATTGTCGACTTGTCATTCAACTGTATCTCCATTCTCCTGGCTTTTCTCAGAGGATTAAAGCTAATACTTCTGTTTTATCTATGTGAATAATGTTTCCCGCTAATGCACTGAACAAATTACAACTAGGAGACCGCTGACATGATAACGCGTTTGTGCACGCGTATTAGCATCAAGTAATACTGAGGTGAACACACACAATTTTGCCTTGGTAAAACTGTCCCAACATGACTTGCAGCTCACGGAGGACTCATCGTGGCCTTATTAACAGGGGAACCACGGATTTCTATACTTTTAAGAGGGTCCTGTCCCCACGCTGACTTTGACCCCCACTGTTTTCTTGGGGGTCCGATGTTGTCTGCATACGTTAGGCATTCACATAAGCAATTCACATTCGCTGCCCATCAGTTGATGAACATGGCTACCTGCTATGCTGCTGATACCAAGCGTGTTCTGGGATGTGGTGCGACAATGCAAAAGTAATACAGCTCATCAAAATCAAGGGGGCTTAATTCATGCATAGATCAACAATGTCAGTAGCTTAGGATGCCATGTTTGAATTCCCCCCCCCCCCCCCCAGTAATTTGCATAAGTCAATGCCCCTGGCTGAAGCACTGTGATGCCTCAATCAAAGTGTTGATACGAAGTGTGCACTTCTTGTTTTGCTCGCTACTCGCCACCTTTTAAAGGAGCTGTACACGACGCACGTCGCCGCGGGAGCTTCACGGAACACCGGTGTCCGTAGTCGTTCCATTAGTCCCCAGGCATTCATACCCGGACCTCCACGCGAGGCAAGACTACGTTAATCACCTTCGCGTCGCCGCCGCAGGAGACCCCAACGCTGACCAGCTACACGTCACGGAAGGAGCACGAGCTGTGCCAGCCGAGGGGAGCACCGGCGACGCCTGCGACTGGCCCTAGCTGGCCCAGCGACAGTCATAAGCCGCGCGCCAGGCGCAGGCGTCTGCGCACCGCTTAACGGAGTCTGCGGGGGCGACACGCGACAGCATCAGCCACTGGAGGTGACGGTGGCGCCGCCTGGTGCTGCCTGGTGCGCCTCTGACAGAAGTGCCGCCGGATGGACCGAAGCGACCGGCCTGACGAATACTGCGCCGTCTGGACGCGGCAGGCCGTGACTCGAAATGGCGCCGTTAATTCATAGATGGCGCGGCTAGCGTCAGGCGAGCGGTGCGAGTAACCCACCACTAAATTCGCCGCTGTTCATACTTAAGAGAGCAGAAAAGAACACGTCTGGAATGTTTCACCCGTGGTGGCTCGGGCGTTGCTTATTTGACGATATATCGTATAAGTTGATATGGCCTGGCACCAGGTTTGTAGACGGCGTCAGCAAGTTAAGGGATGCAGCGAGCTACTTGCTATGTTCAGCGCATGCCAACATTAGCCCTAAGGCATTACATATGCAGAGAGGTGAGCGAGTCTTACCCATAACCTCCCCCGAGAGATTTTCCGTACCTTCCTTGCGGGATGGTAGGAAAGCATCGGTTTTTCTAACTGGAACGGGAAATGGTGCAGTCTCAGCATCTGAAAATGGATTTTTGAAAACTTGCGAGGGTGATCTGAAGGCTCTGTAACTTGCCATGAGTATGTTCTGCATACGACGCAGTTACTGCCCTTCGAGGTGGCTGTTTCATGGTGGAAGCCTTCTTGCTACAAACATGTGTCATGCATCGGGCATTGCTCACGTCCTGATGAGCACAGCATGCTTTTTTATTTATGGTGGTATGCAACTTGTTTATTGTGATATGGCACATCCAGGCACGTTCCACAGGGTGTTTTCATGAATCCTGGTGTCCACCCGCCCCGCGAGTCGTAAATGGACTCTGAAAATTGGCGAACTAAACCTGCCCTATCGATAAATCTGTATTAGGCATACGCCATAGCATGCAAACACGCGGCTGATGTTTACCTAAGTGCTGCTCGTGGTAAACAGCCGCACAGGCTTTCACTGTGCTGGATGTTACGATGTGTGGTAGGGCACAGAAGTGACGCCCAAATAACATCGAGCTTTCTAATTCGCAGCTGTGATTGCTACTAAAATATATTTTCCTAACAACGCCACGAGTTGATAGACAAGGCGCACGACGGGCAACCACGAGCTAACGCCTGTGGGCAAGAAGCTCACATTTCGTGGTACTCTTGTTGAAAGGCCAAACACTATGATGTAATCTGCAGCAGAAAGCCAGCACCAAACATCTGCGCGTAGTGCGCCTCTAAGCCGATCCATCCTGCAAGGATCGGCCGAGGCCTCTCCTGTAGCCGCCGAGAGTACAGAATTCGCAGGGAAGCCGACCAGCCTGGCGCTACAGCTTCGGGCGGCCCATGCTTCGAGCCCAGGTCCGAGACGGTTCCACGCCACGGCTACACCGGCTGCGGGCCGTGAGGACATGCCAGCGTTTAGGGGCGCCTGGTAAGTAGTCGTTCCGCACCATTCTTGGAACACCGTCCGCACGTTGTGAGTTTCGCGGGGCTCAAAGAGAAGATACTCCGCAATGTATAAAAAGAAGCTTCACCTGCTGGATCGCTGTCGTCATGGGGAAGCGCCCTTAGTTCTCGGAGATAATTTATTTCAACATTGTCACGCCCATGCTGCCCGCATGAGTGATGTCTAAACGCATCACAATCTTGTTTAACAATCGACACGTACCCTACAACATTATATGCACTTATCGTTCAAGTCCTACGGAATAAGATGGCTACTCTAACAGGCCAAAACACCAGCAGCCTTCGCCTGCGCGAGCAGACTATAGCCGCCCATCAGGACGGCCGCGCCTTTTGCTGGCCGCAGCATTGCCAAATATGACCTCAGGGGCTTCATACCGATCAAAACCTGCGCCGTTGCAGGCGTGGGGTTTTACGTGTACGGGGGGTTCAGAATGTTGTCCTGAATATTACATAGTACAAGATTGTTCCGGAGCCATGTATGCTTTTCAATCACATGGTCATTTGCTTCCACCTTTAAATTAATGCATCATGTCCTGTGCTTCGTCACTATGAGCTGCACGTCATGGCAAAGCCATTAACATAAAACAAATATACATTAGACACAGGCTTACAAGAACATTTCTCTAATATTGAAACAAAGTGACATAAAGTCGAACTCATTCCGTTTTGCGTAAATAAACCTCTTATCCAGAATGTACAGTATTATACCATGCGGAACACCTTCCTTACATGTCCATCATTTACTAATTCGGTTATGACGGACTGGCGCACGCATCACACGCAGCCACGCAGTGAAAAGTGTCTGACCCTGCTTTAGCTCATCGCCGACCTGGTGACCAGCGGCGAACGGTGCATCTCGCTGGCCAGATTCCGCGACGGGAGACCGCCGGTCCAGCCGGTGTGACCCGACTCCCAGCAGGACACAGCCAGGGAGGGGCAAGGCGCCGGCTCTCGCCTCACGGGCGTTCTCAGGGGCCGCGAGAAGTCAGCTAAACACTAAACAGCCAAACGTCACAGACAGGGGAAACAATGGCTTCACAGCCGAAGGGTGAAGTCTCGCTGACGGCCGGAGCGCTGCCCGAGAGTCAGGTCCGGAGTCAGTCGACGTTGACGATGGTGGTGCTGACGGTGGAGATCTTGGCACGTGGCTCGTTGCCCTCGCGAAAGGTGGCCGTCAGCCGGTACCAGAAGGGCATGTCGTGGAAGTGGTAGGTCTGCTGGTGGTGCTCGATCAGGCCGCCGGCCACCAGGCGGCGCGCGTAGCGGACGGCGGCGCGCCTGCTGCCGGCCAGCCCCTGCAGCAGCAGCCAGTCCACCAGCTCCGTGCCCAGGAACACGTCGTGTAGGAGCTTCTGCTGCACCCTGCAACGGCCCCGCGCGCCCCCGTCAACGGACGTCTCGCGGCGACATGTGTTGTGGTGGAGCATCGCGACGGCGGTGGTCAGGTGGAGAAGCGCGACAAGCATAGATGCAGAAGGGCGATGCATCTCAGGCCCTAGGAATATGAAATCAGCTTATTCGTCATCTATTTCTCTAAAATCTGACATTATTTGAAAAGCTAGGTAGGAGCAAATCAGAGGTGTCAGGAAAGCATACATAAAATGTAACGTCAGTCCAAGAAGCACTGTGAAAGCAAAAACCACACTGCCCTACAACTGCCTGTTGTCTGTTCTTCCGCTCTTCGCTCGGCGATGACTGGTATGCTGCGTTCATAGGAATACGTCCGCCGAAATGTGCGCGAGTAGAATACATGCACAGCACGTGGGACATTCCCTTTCCAATAGCCAATGAGCCAGAAAGCGACCCAACGGTGCGCCAAAATGTACGCAATGCATCAAATCGCACGACTTTCTGCTCTTAGAAAACGACTACAGGTGAAAACGAAAGCACATGCGTGCAGCTTGCCGGTTACCTGCGATCGCGCACGATCTCCTGGATGCACTGCTCCAGGTAGAAGTCGATGAACTTCTGGCACACGTGGTCGTGATCGTCGCTCGGACGGGACGCCTTGCGCCGCAGGGCCGAGCCAAAGCAGGAGCCGCCGTACCGCAGACGCATCCACCTGCCGTCGCCAAGTAGGCCATTATGCTGGGCGGCTGACGGCACGAGCAAGGCTTGTGCACGGAAGCTGGCTTCTGCCGCCATCACAGTACCAAAGAGACGTGTGCTGTACGCTACCGTGCATAGTGTCACGCTGACAAAGTCGTGACGCTATTCTGCGACGGCGGCGCAGCGGTCGGACCCGGGGCATCGGCAGGGCGTGTGGGGAATCAGAGGCGGCTGCGGCAGTCAGACCCGGGGCATAGGCAAGGTGTGTGCAGGATCAGAGGCGGCTGCAGCGGTCAGACCCGGGGCGTCGGCAGGGCGTGTGAGGAATCAGAGGCGGCTGCGGCAGTCAGACCCGGGCATAGCGGCTGCGGCAACGCAGACCCGGGGCGTTCAAAGGCGAGTGTGGGGAATCAGAGGCGGCTGCAGCAGTCAGACCCGGGGCGTCGACAGGGCGTGTGGGGAATCAGAGGCGGCTGAGACAGACCGACCCGGGGCGTCAACAAGGCGCGTGAACGATCAGAGGCAGCAACGATCAACGGTAGTCAGACCCGGGGCGCCGGCAGGGCGTGTGAGCACTCAGCATAGGCCGCGGCCGTGTATAGTGTGGTCGAGATCTATGCCGTGTATTTTAACGCAGCCCCATCCCGCAATATGTACCCTGCTACCTCAGTATTGAACCTGGGTGTCAAGAAATATCATTTTGACGCCAACAGCAGACACCATAGTAGGTGCGGATTAGACAGTGACAATCAGGACACTAGGGTAGTTGACAGCGGTGACAAGTGTAGCAGCGGCTGAAGGAGGAAGCACTCTTTAGCGCAAGATCGGTGGGTGGCCAGCGGACCGAAACAGTTATCGCCCCTCCCCCCCCCCCTCTCCCAACCTGTTAACCTTGAATAACGTCTCGTGACCCACACGGACATGTACGGAAGAATAATTACCTTAGTAATAACAAATACTTTGCTGTTTAAAGCAACACAATCTAATAGACGCAACACGCGCGTTGTTATGGTCGGAAACGTTGCAGAAAGGTTGCAGCACCATCTCGTGATGGGGCGGGAGTCGTTGTCACGACTTCGTGGTGAACAAGGCGGAGCAAACAGCACAGTGCACCTCACACCAGACTGATTAATTGTGGTGTTTGACTGGCTGATTCGCATGCTGGAGAACCACTTCTGATCAACATGAGCAGAGGTGCCGTTTCGCCATACAGTTTTACGCCGAAACGTTGAGAGCCTATCGTGCTCTTTTGAAGCGCACCACGGTCACTGTTCTTTTGACCTTGCGAAGCCAAACAGGTAAACCGTGCACGATTTGCACTATGCACTACGGATTTTTTTTAGTACGCGCATTATGTTAAATAGAAACACCAGCGTCCTCTTCCGTCTGTTGAACGGGACGGAACAGACATTACCTGAAAATAAATCCCGGGCGGCAAACACTTAACAAACGTATCAATTTACTTTCGGACTGTGGACCGAGCGCAACATGAAGCATATGAGTGCTGTAATCGCGCTTTTTCAACCGCACGTTTTCCAAGAATGTCGCGTGAACCCATCGAGAAAGCCATTGTTAAAGGCATGCCTAACCGGTGACAGATATTGGCCGATCTATAGATATCTCCATAACGCTCTTTCCACTCGTTTGCATTGTTCTAGAGCCAGAAGACCAATACATTGGTAATGCGTAGACCAATGCTACCGATAGTGTTGTGATTAAACGGCGTGTCTGGGAAACCAGAGACACGGGGGCTCGGTACCCCGTGGTGCCCGCTATCCCCGCCAGGGTGAGAGGCAGACGATGCCATATAGCCTCAACAGCTGAGTGAACCGTGAAGCCTCAATCACACACATCTCCCACATGGCTCATGAGAAGGTTACGTTCATGATATGATCTCCTAGGTTTTGCCTTCTTTTCAGCTGGTGCCCGCTAGACAACCTGGTGTGTCAAGGACGACCTGTCTCCGATCTCGGTGGGGCAAAGCAGTGCGGCAGCGTCCCAGTGCGGTGGTATGTGATGAGCACCACGCCGGCGATCAGGAGACACTGGATACGCACAGGGAGCAGTGCGACCCAGATGTGCTCACCTGCTGCGCAGTGGCATTAGGAAGGCCTCGGGGTCGAGACCGAGCACGAAGAAGGCGAGGACGCCCTGGCCAAAGTTGATGATGGTGTCGATGAACGTCAGCTGGATGTAGACTCCGCCCATCTTGCCCTCGCGCTGTACCGGCAGGCTGCACCCGCACAAGAACATACTCTGAAAGCCGGTGATTAGCGTTAGGCTGAAGCTAAGGCTGAGAGTAGGAATGCGAGCGACGAGAAAATGATGGGATCCGGCGATCTTGCTGACTCTGCTGTAATAGCGCATTTCACGAAGGCTTGCAACGGAACGATTTTCTGCAGGAAATTGTAAACTGACGGGCACTTTCAAAGATTTTCACCCGAAATACAAGTCAGCTACAGCTCGTTCAGCTTATCTGACTTCACACGTGTGGGGACAGCGCAATGAAAAGGGACGGTGAGAAGTGCCCTGAGACTGCTGGCAGCTGCCTGAACCCAGAACTCCACTCTTGTCCCGCGGCATACGCGGCCGGGTAGCGATGAGAGCTCGGCAGGCGCTACGTTTGTTTAGACCAGACCTGCGAGTGAGGGTGCCCAGGACCGAGCTCGGCCAAAGGCCAGCCACGGTACGACGCTCCGCTGCAGTGAAGGTACAAGGACGCAACGCTCTATGTCAGCACATGATACGGCGGGTGGGGATTGACACCATTTTTTGGCCGTGAGCGAGTGCTTACCGAAACCTGCCCAGCTATGTGCACTGTATAACTGTGTCCCGTATTACTGAAGGATTGCTTTAACCATTGGTAAACAAATCAGATGCGAGAGCCACTTTCGCAGTCTCAGTGCAGAGGTCCACCGTCAGGCGCAGTCTCAGTGCAGAGGTCCACCGTCAGGAGCCTTCACTCACCACGACCATAGACCAGGCGAGCGAGATGAGCAGCAGCGAGTGACGCAGAGTGTGGAACTCCTCGTCCCGGTCCCGAATGACGCTGGACGTGTCCGAGGAAATGCAGTCCTGCTCCGGACAGGACTTGGCCGCATCCATCGCAGAAGAGTCCGGATTGTACAGGCTGTAATATTGCAAGCATGCCATCTGAAGACTACAATGCGCGTGCGTGTCATCTGGCATCACCTGGTGTCACCTGCCACGCTCATCCCATCACCACTGGAGATCGCAATCTGAAAACTTAACGACATGTTTGTTGGTCCTGACAGTTCACTTCGTCATGACGCGTGCCTTCCGATTCGAGTGCCCGCTGCGGATTAAGCCACTTGGGGCCCTGGCTACATGCCCCCGACTGAATTGGCTCCTAGCCAGCTGCAGCGGCCGCGCTAGAGGTCAGATGACGTCAAAAGCTCGATTGACAGCGAGGATTGCGGAATGCTAAGCTTTTGACGCAAAATTCAGCAGATTTAGCCAGAATTTAACGATCGGGCGGCAGGGACGGGGCTCACGCAGCGAGCAGTGCTTAGCGTGGGCGGTGACCACAGAAATTCAAGCAATCAAAAGGCTCGGACAAGAGCTTCAATAACACAAGTATTCATCATCTGAGATCATCTGGCGTCGACATACCTTCCCCGACCGCAGCAAAGCACAGAGAAGCGAGACAACTACCATCTTAGCCCATATCGAAGCCCTTGGAAATGAAAGCCTCCACCACTGAGCTGCGACGCTTACGAGTGTAGCGGGACACCTTCGGTGGCTACACTGTACCGTATGCTAGATCACATTCAGTAAAGCTCTGGTGATTAGGTAACGGTGTGCTGCAAAGGAACGATTGCGGGTGCGGTAGCTGGTTCGATAAACACAAATAACTGGAATTGTGTGGTAAATACTCGTATTTAATCTGCATTTGATCATCGGATACACTCCTCTGCAACTGCTGGCTAATCTGAGTGTCAATGCTTGACCAAGGAATGCAGTTAATGCAATTCCTTAAAAAACCAAACCACCAGACGCTCAACTTCCAAGGAACCAAGAGCAAGCGGTACGATACAACCTGCAAAACACACATCAGTCTGATATTGCCCAATAAGGGTCGGTGGAACGGAGCAGAGCGCCGCGTCCTACTGTGTCGCTGCTTCACAGCTGACCCATGAGTGGGGTTACGTGCCCGAGTACAGAGCCGCGGTCCGCTACCTGGGTCGGGCACTCCCGGCGACCGACGGATCGAGCGCTGCGTGACCGAGGCTTGCTCGCGCAGCACCACGCGCAGTGACCGAGGTTTGCTCGCGCAGCGCCACGCGCAGTGGCCAGCGTTTCATGACCAGCGTTCACACATCTTCCTCTCGCCACGCTCATTTAGAGGGTATAAGGACTCGGGCGGAG